GTCCACTAGGACTCCGAGGTCCCTCTCACAGTTACTACTATTGAGCAAGGTACCCCCTATACTATACCTGTGCATTTGTTTTTTCTTGCCTAAATGTAGAACCTTGCTTTTTTTCATCATTGAATTTCATTTTGTTAGATAGCGCCCAGTGTTCAAGTCTATCCAGATCCTTCTGTATCCTAAGGCTGTCTTCTGGAGTGTTGGCTATTCCTGCCAGCTTGGTGTCATCTGCAAATTTAATGAGTTCTCCTGTTTAAATAACAGATGGCAGCTAGCATGCCAATTATAGCCCTTCCTGAATCACAGGTTCCTTCTCTCAGTCACTCATACTTTTTCATACCCAACCGACAATGACAACAATCAGCCCTTGAGAAATTACGAGAATCATTATAGAATGGTGCATCCTATTTCCAGCCATTGGAGGTGTTGAAAAGGAATACCATGGTCAACATGATCAAAACCTGGTGGGACATCAAGGAACATAAAGATTGATCCTCCCCCTCCATACAGACTCTACTTCAAGTTATTTACAAACATATTCAAAACTGTCTCGATCTTAAATCTCAGCCTGAAACACAGCTGAAGTGATTCTAGATAATCTGCTTTCTTTAAGGAAATTTCCTCCAAAGGAAGGTCCAGTTTGACCACATTTTCAATTTGATAAGTCAAAACAGATTTACTGTCTTTTGTAGGGCCATGTCTTCTCATTTGCAGGCTATCATTTTGGACAGCATTCCTCAGGAGTTTAGGTTGCCTCTCACTCTATTGCTTATTTCATAAAAATGTTAGAACCTGTATTTACAAATTGTCTCAGAGTATATTAGCTATGGGAGGGAATGGATCTCAAAGCTGCTACTAAAGCACTGTTGCTCTGCTCTGTTACAGTGATTCTATATTTTAATGTTGCTTATTCCTTATATTATATGGTATTGCATAATATTGTATCATAATTTTAATATGATATAATTTAATATGATATAATTAAATATCATATCTTGTGGTAATAGTACAATATTATAATATATAATGCTATACTATTATAATATGATATTATACAATATAATACAAAGTATAATGAATAAGCAACATTAAAATATAATATAATGTAATGTAATGTAACATAACAGTAATAATAATAAAGTTGAAAGGGACCTTGGAGGTCATCTATTCCAACCCCCTGTTCAGGCAGGAAACCCTATACCATTTCAAACAGATGGCTGTCCAATCTCTTCTTAAAGACTTCCAGTGTTGAAGCATTCACAGCTTCTGGAGGCAGGTTGTTCCACTGACTAATTGTTCTAACTGTCAGGAAGTTTCTCCTTAGTTCTAGGTTGCTTCTCTCTTTGGTTAGTTTCCATCCGTTGCTTCTTGTCTTGCCTTCAGGTGCTTTGGAGAATAGTGTGACTCCCTCTTCTTTGTGGCAACCCCTGAGATATTGGAACACTGCTATCATGTCACCCCTTGTTCTTCTCTTCATTAAACTAGACAATTCCAGCAACCGCTCTTATATGTTTTAGCCTCCAGCCCCTTAATCATCTTTGTTGCTCTTCTCTGTACTCTTTCTAGAGTCTCAACATCTTTTTTACATCGTGATGACCAAAACTGGATGCAGTATTCCAAGTGTGGCCTTACCAAGGCATTGTAAAGTGATATTAATACTTCACGTGATCTTGATCCTCTCCCTCTGTTAATGTAGCCTAGCACTGTGTTGGCTTTTTTGGCAGCTGTAGCACACTGCTGGCTCATATTTAAGTAATTGTCCACTAGGACTCCACGATTCCTCTACAGTTACTACCATTGAGCAAGGTACCATCTATACTATACCTGTGCATTTGTTTTTTCTTCCCTAAATGTAAAACTTTTTTTCACCATTGAAATTCATTTTGTTAGATAGCACCCAGTGTTCAAGTCTGTCAAGATTCTTCTGTATTTTAAGCCTGTCTTCTGGAGTGTTGGCTATTTCTGCCAGCTTGGTGTCGTCTGCAAATTTGATGAGTTCCCCATCTATCCTCTCATCCATAATATACATAATATATAGTATAGTATAGCATAGCATAGCATAGCATAGTATAGTATGTGTTATTTTATATTTTATTTTATTTTTTATTTTATTATTTTATTTTATTGGTATAACCCAGTTTGAATCCTTGTCATTTGAGCAAATTATTCAATATGTTCCAAAGTTCAAAATGTATTCTTGCACAAAGACCAACATTATATTTAATATAGTAAATAAATAAACAGATTGCAACCAGCCTGCCTTCCTTTGAGCACCTACTCAATACTCAACACTGCATGAGTCAGAAAGAGAAAATAACTACATGCTCATCACAAACTGGATATAAACTGTTTCAACTCCTGCTCTCAGGATGCAGTTATAGTGCATTGAGAGCCAAAACAATTAGCCACAGAGACGTTTTTCACCTTGGGCCATCACTCTGTTGAACACTAAACTCCCATAGCACTGTCTAAAAATATTTAGTATATAGGAGACCAGTATTACTATTATCCTCCTCATCTTTCCTACTATCTTCTCCTATTGGTATCCTATTTGTATCTTATGATTATATTACCATATTGTTTGTATGTACACCAAAAGCTTATGCAGCAGAGACAAATTCTTTGTATGTCCAATCATACTTGCCAATAAAGCTATTCTACATTGTGCATGGGGTCGCGATGGGTCGGACACGCCTTCGCAACTAACAACAACAAATTCTGTTCCATTCCATTCTATTCCATTGCATTCTATTCCATTCCATTCCATTCCATTCCATTCCATTCCATTCTTTAGTGTCATACAGGGTGAAGCAGGATGAGGTGATCAAAACAGAGAAATGCATGTATTAGTAAAGGGGCAATAAACATATTTTTATTTTTGAGATCCTCAACAAGTACAACTTGCTTGTAGATAGTCGTGCAACTGAAAATGAATAAGCAAAATATTGCTATTTACCACTACAAACCGATACAAACATTTAAAAGTAGTGATGATCTTAAAGATAAATAATAATCTATCAAAAGCTTCATATTCTTGAAAATGTTCAAATGATGTTGACAGATTTGAGATTAAAGTTGAATTACCCAAAAGTTGTATTTAATATATTGGACCCCACAAAGATTGTACTGGAAAGAATGAACATCATATTCATTTACTTAAATGGTCCTATAATCTTTTGTCATTTTGGGGGAATAACGTTTTCATGAAATGAGATCATTTATGGGGCAAGATTTATGTGATGATGAATTACATGCAGAACCAAAGCTTTATAATTTTACTTACTGCTAGAAATTATAGTTATATCATGCATTGGGGTGGCTGGAAAAATACTGTAATTCTAAGAAATTTAAAAAGTGATCTTATACTATAGTTAAAGGAATAGCTTTTGGAAATACTTTTAAAAAACAATGAAATATGATAAAAGGTTAAGATAAAATCATAAATTCTACTTTGGTGCAGGTTTCATGATATTTTAGAATTACATTTTGTATTTGGTTACCTATTATATCCTATGGCATTTTTCAGCAAACCATTGACTACTATGAGTTTAAATATATGGTAAGAGGAGGTTTTTTTTTAGGGGGGAGATTTTCCTTCACTTTTGGTTTATATTTTTTTGAATGAAAGGAGTTTTACATCTGATTTATTATTTTAGTGTATTTTGTTTATTGTTTGTATGTTCTAAAAAAAAGAACAACCGTATAACACAGGGGTGTCAAACTGCAAGCCCACGGACCGGGTGTGTCATGGCGAAACCACACCCATCCCATTGCCAGCAATGGAAAAAAAGTTGTGATACATTGTGATTAATCACGTGACATTGCACGTTTGACACCCCTGGTATAACAGAATTGGAAGGGATCTTAGAGGTCTTTTAGTCCAAACTGTGCTCAAGCATTTCAGACAGATGATTGTCCAATCTCTTCCTAAACACCTCCAGTGAAGGAGCACCCACAACTTCTGAAGGCAAGCAATTCCTCTAATTAATTGTTCTGCCATGAAATCTCTCTTCTTTCTAGGTTAGTTCTCTCCTCAATTACGTTCCATCCATTGGTTCTTGTTCTGTCTTCAGGTTCTTTGAAGAATAGGTTGACTCCCTCTTCTTTGCGATAGCCCCTTAGATATTGAAACGTTGCTTTCATGTCACACCTACTCCTTGTTTTCATTAAACTAGACATACCCAATTCCTGCAACTGTTCTTCATATGTTTTATGTCCCCTAATTTTGTTTGTTGCTCTTCTCTGCATTCTTTCTAGATTTTTTTTTTTTGTATCATGGAAACAAATGGATGCAATATTTTCAAGTGTTTTCTTATCAAGACATTATAAAATGGTACTAACACTTCACATCATATTGATTATATCCCTTTGTTAATGCAATCTATGCCTGCATTGGTTTTTGTGACAGCTGATGCACACTTCTGACTCATATTTAAGTGTGATTGCCCACTTAAATTACTGTGTTTATATGTTCTTAAAATGTTAGCAGAATCCGGAGAATCATTGGGAGGATATTGCAAAGAAAACATAATTGGATTGCACTTCATTTGAGTGTGGCAGACACCCATTAAGGAGCAAAGCCGCCCATCAAACTATGTCTCCGAGGTCAGTAATAAAAATCCAAGATTTATATCTTTTGCTTATAAACTGCATTGTGACACCTCCATACCTCCTACCACTTTTGAATATGGCTACACATTATCTTTCTGAATGGATAGAGGTTCTACAGCAATTCAGAAAGGACTTTTCTCTACCCCTCCTGGACATGAGAAACCCTGAGGTTAGGTACTTTTAAAACTACAGCAGATTAACCGTTCAATTAAGTCTCTTGTTCCTCCAAGGACTTTTGCAAAAGCAAACCCACAGGAATATTTCAATAGAAGGAAGATACAATAATCATTTATGTAAATACAATTCCTAAGAATAGTTGCAACATTTCACAGAGTCAATGTGATGCAATCATTCTAACTCCATAAATAGACAACTGTGTACTGTTTCAGGAGTAAGATTTGATCCAGAAGCAATCTCAACATGAAGATTCTTTATTTGCTCTTTGCATTCTTTTTCCTTGTGTTCCTCTCTGAACCAGGTAAGAAGCTAATTTATTGATAATTTAGAAAGGATAACTCAATCTGTTTTAAACAGTCATTATCTTTGAAAGCAATATACATTATTTCTGAAACTTCTATTCAATCCAGGGCCAGAATTTGCAGAAGATTTAGGAATGAACCTCTGGAATTAAATTTTCATCTTTTAACTACAAATATCTCAATCATTCATGCCTTTTAGGGTTTTTGAGATATTGACTATTGACAATGTGTATGTCACTGATTTTCATTCAAAATTAAAACTAGAGAGCCAATATAATATAGGACATCAAGAAGGGACTGGAAAACCAATTTATTTATTTATTCACTATTCATTTATATTCTATCTGAGTAAAGAGGAAAGATAGCTATATTATATAGTAATCTTTGATCTTGCCATACTTAGCATTTGAAAAAATAAATAAGGAATTCTGTAGACTTGCAGCAAAATATCTAGAAGCAGAGAAATTATCTTTTTTCCACATATCTATTATTATTTCCTTAATGTAAAAAGCAAACTCCCTGAAGAAAAGCTTGGCTCTTAAAGATTATGTCAACAACCCAAAGCAGGTCAATTTCAGATCAGTATAGAAATGGTGGGTCCTTCCCATATTTTTTGTTTTATTTCATTTTATTTATATATTTGATGGTTGCCATATCCTGAGGGTCTTTTATGCAAGTCACAATTAGCTCTCATATGTATAGTTTTTCAAGAGCAGAAAAATGCAACAGTGGAAATGTTTTCTACATTAAGCAAAGAGGAAAAAGTCCAGAAGAAAATCAAGCCCTGCAGTTAAAAGAAAATTATCTATTCTCATCCAGATTTTCTCCATCCAAAACACCTACTAGAGCCAGCCATTGTAACTCAAGGTTATTTTCTAGCAAGCAAGAATCCATTGTAATAGTGGAGAGAGAGAGAGATCAAAGCAATATCTCCCCTCAGCTACCTCAGTAGTTCACACATGCCAGCCAAGTCTTCTCTGGGCCAGGGTTGAGACTTGGCTTGATTTGTGATTTATTTGAGGTGCTGCAAGGTGAGCAGCAGAAACTGATTCATCTAATGAGATGAAACTGCCTGAAGCCACAGGAATTCTGCATTGGTTATTGTTTCTTGGAACCAGAGATGTATGCAAATATCAAAGTAACTTTACTCATCATTCACCTATCTCCTCTTTTCCTTTTTACAGGGAATGCTGGCCGCCTGTGTCTTGATGAAGGAGGGAACTGTTATCCCCAATGTCCTCCTGACTACATCTCACTTGGAAAAGTAGATTGCAGGGGATACTGCTGTAAAAAGTAAGAAAACCCTTTCCTAATAGAGACAGATGTAGATTGGGACAATCTGCTGATATTCACAAGGCATTGACATGAACAAGAAAAGGGTTTCAAGAGAAATCTTGTGTAGAAAGGAGGGCAGGAGAGAATTGTTTTTCTGGTTTAGGGGGCAGAAGGAACACACTTTGATTAACCTATTTTTTATCTCATTTCTATTGCCACTCTAGAAAATAATGCCATATCCATCTACAGGCCTGGATATCTTCAACATCTGGCCAATGATCTGGCATCTCCACCTGCTATTGCTTTATCTTCTTTTATATAAATTGCTGTCTATCAGTCTCTAAAACATTTGTGCATTGAATTTGGCAAAAAAACAAAAACAAATTAAAGATGAATGAGCATTGCAGTTGTATGACTTTTTAAAGAGGGTTTGGGGCAGTATATCCATGGTACTACATGACTCTGTATTGTGTGTGTGTGCATAATCGTGTATATACCTCTTTATTGTGAGATGCAATGGTTCAGTGGCTTAATGACACTGGAAATAGTCTCAGCTCTGGTGGTTCAAGCCCTAGCATGACACAGTGAGTTTCTGTTATTCACCTAAACTTCTGTTCACCTATCAATTCAAAAACATGTTTGATGCAAGTGGGTACTACTTCAGGGGGGAGATAAACTGGTGTTCTTTGCAGTCAGTCAGATTCCTGATGGTTTGAATCTTCTCATTTGCATTGCTTGTTTGAAGAGCCACTTTTGGTGAAAAGCCAGCTCACCCTCCTGTGGTGCACCTTGGGAAGTACACAAGTGTGTCCTATAATAGGGCTGGTACCTTGGCAAGCCAAACTACTACTCTGCTATAGCATTGTGATCTCCTGGTTACTGTAACAATGCAATAACAATTGTCATCATCATCATCATCTCTTTGTTTACATTTAAGTGTGGAACTCATTCCTCATTCTTCAACCACATATTATGCCATAAAATCACATAGTGTCATTCTTTCCCCTTGTTTATTGACTGATTTTCTCAGCTATTAATCACAGATCACTGAAAAAAATTAAAATACAAACAATAAACTGATATAAGCCTTAGACCAATTGTCTAAATAAATAAAACAAAATAAACAAAGTTATAACAAGAAGCCAGCATAGGTTTGTTAAAAACAGATTGTTCCAACCCAGTCTTATTTTATTCTTTGACAAAGTGACTAAATTAGTAGAGAAATGCTGTGGACATACTATACTAAGTTTTCAGTAAGGCATATGACAAAGTCGACCACAACCTACTTCTTGATAAGCTAGAAAAATGTGACATAGATAGTATCATTGACAGATGGATACCATGGCACTCAATGAGTAATTCTTAATGGTATTACATCAACATGGAGGTAGTAAGCAGTGTCATACCACAAGGTTCTGTCTTAGGCCCAGTTCCAAGATGGCGGTGCCTGGAACAGCTGCGGCTGCATTGGCTCTTGAAGGTGAAAAGTTTTTGGAGGGATATAAGGGATATAGGCCAGATGATAAGGAAGGTTTAAGAGATTGGTAAAGGACTACATGTTTCATGCCTTCCCCTTACATTTGACTCATTACAGTTTTTCTATCGGAAGAACCACTCTGTACAAGATGCACTTTCCAGTGTACTTCATCTTAGCTTGGCGTACCTGGAGGGGAAGAATACTCATGTGCGAATGTTGATTTTGGATTTTAGTTCAGCATTCAAAACAATCATCCCTCAGCATCTGGTAAACAAACTGGGCCTATTAGGTTTTAATATGCCTTTATGTAATTGGATACTTGGTTTCTTTATTGATAGGCCCCAGGTTGTGCGATTTGGAAAGAAAGTTTCCAATTCCATCTCCTTGAGTACAGGTTGTCCACAGGGCTGTGTTCTGATTTTGCTATTGTTCACCTTAATGACCCATGACTGCTGTGCCAAATCTACTATGAATCATATTGTGAAATATGCAGATGACATAGCAGTAGTGGGTCTTATCCCGGATGACAATGAAAATGCTTATAGAGAAGAGGTGAAGGCTCTGTTGAACTGGTGCAATAAAAGTAACCTGATTCTAAATGTTGATAAAACAAAGGAGATCATTGTAGATTTCAGAAAGAGACAGCATAGTCATACTCCACTCAGTATCAAGGAGGTAGTTGTAGAGGTTGTCAACAGTATTAAGTATGTAGCAGATAACTAACAATCTGAATTAGGTCTGGGGGTCGCCAGCTGATGGGCACAGGAGGTAGGTGCCGCCGCGGCCTCTCAGCTGCATGCTTCTTTGGCTGGAGCAGTTGGCAGGGCTTGCATGGTCCCCAAGGGCCGCTGACGCGCTCCCCGCTGTCGGCGAACATGCAAGGCTTGGCAACTGCTCCAGGTGAAGAAGCAGGTGTCTGGGAGGCCGCCGCGGTGCCTAACTGCTACGCCCATAAGCTGGCGACCTCCGGACATGCGCCCGTCAGCTGGAACATCAAGCAACGCTTTGGCTGGTGCGGAGGGCGAAGGGGAAACCGCCACAGCGCCAAGATTAAATTAGTAACTTGGTTGTTCAATGAATCTGGTTTCCCCACTAACTTTGCTTGTCACAAAGTTGCAAAAGGTGATCACATGACCCTGGAACAATGTAACCATCATAAATAAGAATTGGTTGCCAAGCATCCAAATTTAAATCACATGACCTTGGGGATGCTGCAATGGTCATAAATGTGAAAAATGGTCATAAGTCACTTTTTCCAGTGCCGTTGTAACTTTGAACAGTCACCAAGCAAAGTGTTGTAATTGAGGACTATGTGTACTTTATCACTTTATTTTTCCTTTTTTTTGTCATCAAGCTTTTGACACCTTGCTGGGTGACTGGTGGTACTCAAATGTTGCCATATTCTAAAAGTGGTACAATCGGTGAAAAAGTTGAAAAACCCTGTTCTAGTGGACGATCACTTAAATATGAGCCAGTAGTGTGTGGCAGTAGCCAAAAAAGCTAATACAATTCTTGGTTGTATAAACAGAAACATAGAATCAAAATCATGGGAAGTACAGGCTTCCAGTTTTGCGCAGTAATGCAAGTAGCCGAGGGATCACGGAGCTCCGCACTCTACGGCCATTTCTTTTTTGTTTGGGAACCCTAAATGGGCCAAAAGTTGCCCCGAAGAGGTGGCAAAGAAGGAAGGAAACACTGGCGACTGTGGAGAGATAGCAGTCAATCCAGTAGACTGGGGGAAACCCTCCAGAAACCAAAAGAAGAAAGGCTAGCTTTACTTCAGAGTCTAGCCTAAGCTACAAGCAGCTGAAGCAATAATAATAATAATAATAATAATAAGCCCCCAGTGAGGCACTACCTTGACGTGGTTGTGGGGCTTGTGTACTCTGAGGAAGATGAGAGCTATGCCAGAGGTTCAACCATACTGGACAAGTCTCATCAGAGGAGTCAGACAAAGAGTGTCTCTCCCATAAAACATATGGTGAGATGTAAATTTAAGAATGCATACCGGCTCAGATGTCGCCTGGGTTAACAAGGTCCGCGCTAGATATTGGAGTTCCTGGATATCTGGTGAAAAGTGAGTTACAGGACTCAGGACTGTTGGCTGAGCAACCAGGGCCAGCAGCTGCAGAACTACTGGAAGAAAAGGTGTTTACCCGTCACAGATACACAGTGATTGAAAACAAAGAAATAATGATCTGTTACTACATATCAAGTCCAACAAAAAGAGGATATCTAAAACAAATGCACCAGTTCTGGAAAGAACAACATCCAGAATCAGAAATAACAGAACAGAGACTAGCAGATCAACGCTGATTTATAACACGAAATAAAGTATTCACAGAAACAGAATTGGACGAACTGCAAAGGTTTACCCAGGGCAAAGAAATCAAAGCCTTACCAGAAGTAATTCAGAATGTAGAGGCAAACCAGGGGGGAGTTGGCAGTGAAGGAATCCAGCAGAGATATACAACTGTTCTCATTTGGAAACCAGGCACCTCTTCCTCAGGAAGAACAAAACCCTCTAACTAAAGAAATAAAAGAATTGAAACAAAGAATAACTCAGCATCTAGAACAACACAAAAACAACAGAATAAGGCTGCCTGCATTGAAGCATGTTCCAAAGAAACAGTTAGCACAAGATTAAAAGATGCAAATACTGCAATATCAAGTATAAGCACCAATTCACTGCAAGAAACAAACCAACTAATATACAGCACAGCTGCAGTTATAACTGAATACCTGAGATGCAAAATCAACAAAGAAGAAAAACAAACAAACAGTGCACCACAAAAATGGAAGGTTAGACTAGAAAATAAGATCAGCAAGTTAAGATCACATGCAAGCAAGCTAGAACAGATGAAAGAAAAGAAGCTGAAGAACAAGAAGACCAAAGAATACCTAATGAAGAAATACCACTTAGAAACAAGGAAAATCAAGGAAGCACTGGAAATAATAAAGCAACAAATAACAGCTATAGCCAGGAAAATCAGTAGATATGAAGCTCAAATTGCAAACTATAGGCAGAACCTCCAATTTCAATCCAATCAGAAACGTTTCTACCAATCCATCAATGGAGAAACTGCAATGAATCAGTCAGTACCTGACAAGGAAGAAACAATGCTGTTCTGGAAGCAGATATAGGATTGTTGTTGTTGTTAATTGCGAAGTCGTGTCCGACCCATCGCGACCCCCATGGACAACGTTCCTCCAGGTCTTCCTGCCCTCTACCATCTTCTGGAGTCCATTTAAATTCACACCTACTGCTTCAGTGACTCCATCCAGCCATCTCATTCTCTGTCGTCCCCTCAATTCTATTGCCCTCAATCTTTCCCAGCATTAGGCTCTTCTCCAGTGAATCCTTCCTTCTCATTAGGTGGCCAAAGTATTTGACTTTCAACTTCAGGATCTGGCCTTCTAAAGAGCACTTGGGGTTGATCTCTTCTAGGACTGACCGGTTTGAACGCCTTGCAGTCCAAGGGACTCGCAGGAGTCTTCTCCAGCACCATAGTTCAAAAGCCTCAATTCTTTGGTGCTCAGCCTTTCTTATGGTCCAACTTTCACAGCCATACATTGCAACTGGGAAAACCATGGCCTGGACTATACGCACTTTTGTTGGCAGGGTGATGTCTCTGCTTTTTAGTATGCTGTCTAGATTTGCCATAGCGTTCCTCCCCAGGAGCAAGCGTCTTTTAATTTCTTGGCTGCAGTCCCCATCTGAGGTGATCTTGGAGCCCAGAAAAATAAAATCTGTCACTACCTCCATTTCTTCCCCATCTATTTACCAGGAATTGAGAGGGACGGATGCCATGATTTTGGTTTTCTTAATGTTGAGTTTCAAGCCAACTTTTGCACTCTCCTTCTTCACCCACATCAAGAGGCTCTTTAGTTCCTCTTCTCTTTCTGC